AAAAAAAAAAAAAAAGAAGTAGTTCTGGACATTCTGGAATTTACTGAGTAAAAGGTCCATGTTAGGATCCAATGGACCATTTCTTAAGCCAAACCTTTTGATTTATCCCCAAGAACTTGGGTCATTTATAACACTAAGCAATTTGAGGGTAAGAGTTAATCTGAGAAGCTGAATTATTCATTTTTTTTTAAAAGTTAAGCTAAATAACTTGGAGGTCATCTCTGTCCTCAGAACCTACCGTCTGCTAGAAAGAGCCAGTTTACTAACCAAGTCATATAAATACTTGTAAGATGGAACTGTGTTTGTAGTTAACCCTTGTGCTTTCTCTAGGCTTGCCTGGATCTACTGACCAATTTGTTCTGGAATATGTATACGTGGGAAGTTTAATCATCAGATACTAGCTATGTGAGCTATGTCTACAGGGATCCAGAAAGTCTGAAGATACTTCTTATGCCATGATATACTGGGACCCTGCCCCAAATATTTTCATATCCTTCAAAAAGCCAAAATGATGTGCCTAAAAATAAGGCATAGCATAATGTATAATTAAAGAGACAACAGAATGATTCATTGGGAAAAGGCCTTGTTATAACAAATGTGTAACTTCAGAAATTGATTCACTGTTGTAACTTTTTATAAAGAGAAAATAGCCTTAGCAGAGCTAGGAGGGTTGGATATAAATATATCCCTGGTAGGAATATAGGAAGTGCTTGATTTCATTTTAACAAACAGCTCATGCATTCATCAGAATTACTGGCTGGGCTCTTAAACACCAGACGCTGTTTTAGGTATAAGATTAACGGTGAGCAAGGCAACATCCCTAGTCTTTTGAAGCTTACACTGTGATTGAACAGGAACTGACACAAAATATCCAGTGATAAATACCATGGGAAATGCAAAACTGGGTGCTGAGACAGTGGAGTGGAGGGAACTATTGATTGAATGGGCCAGGAAGGCCTGTCGTTCACAACAGTTAAGAAGGTACTACCTTTCCAAAATGCCTAACTCCACACCTTCTCTAGCCTCAAACTCTTTGCTCCTCTGCTTCTCTACTTCCCATACTGCTGAGGAAAATCTCTACTACTTAACCTACTCCCAACTCTCTACCTGTTTCAATGGTTATTTTTGACTTCGTTGAGATCCCCACCCTCATGTTGGATCTGGACAGTAAGCCGCTGTCCATGCTACCAAGGAAATTGTACCCCTTCAGAGCCTGTAAACAAGTAACAGCAAAATAAGAGTGATAAGGACCAGGTTCCAAGGGAACAGGAGACAGGCAAAGGAAAGTGCCACAGCTTTCTCTGTCCCAGAGTATATACAATGTGCCTGGGGTAAGAGAGCTGAAGCTTTGCTGGAGCGGTTGGTGCCGCCCCCCACTGGCAATGAACCGAAAGTGCGGGGCCCGCCTAGCAGCTCCTTAGAGTCACAAGGCAGTGTGAGCGCAGCGATGCCCATTGCGCATGCCCACAACGGACAGGTTCCGGGAGGCTCGGTGCAGGTGACCGGAAGGAACGCTCCGGCCGGGATGGCTGCAGAGGAAGGGGCTGGGAAAGCTGTTTCGGCTGGCTGCAGTAGCTGCCCCGTAGCCATGGAGCGGGTTCTACCGATGCTTTTGGTGTCGGTTCCCGCCGAGGCGACAGGGAAGCTGGGATCCCGGGCGCAGCTGCACAGAGAGCAGGAGGCTGTAGGGAGCCTGACGGCTGAGGGCTGCCTCCGAGTGATTTCCTTGACGCCAGGCGGCCGGGGCGGGGGGCGCTGCTGCCTCGAGGGCCCCTTCCAGCAGTAAGTGCTGAGGGAAAGCGCGGTAATGTGGTGGGGAGTTCGGAGGTTCCTCCGGGAGTGTAGGAGGCTGGAGAGGGGTGACAGCTGCAGGAAAAGTCTCAGTCAAGCCGGGTTCCCTGTCAGAACCCCCTGCCTGAGGCTGAGACTTGCCCAGTTGCATTCCCACACCCTTGCTTCCCTGTTTTGGGTGGGCGGAGACGGCGTCTCGCTTCTCTGCTACCTGCCGCGAATCATGCCCATTTTCTTTCAATTGAGTCAGAGATGATAACCAGCTGACATCTAAACTTTGCATCATCTTATACCTTTCTCTTGTCCTTGAAACGAATAGCATTTTCCTTGACATACAGGCTTTCTTCAGGGATGGAGTCCACTTGTCCGTTCACTTACTCAACAAATAGCATTTTCCTTCACATACAGGCTTTCTTCAGGGATGGAGTCCACTTGTCCGTTCACTTATTCAACAAATAACTCATCATGTGCCTACTGCTGCTTCCTAGGAGCTGTGCCTAAAAACTTGAGAAAGACGCAATTCTTAAAAGTGAGATACCCATGATTTAGGAAGACAAACATAATTACAATAATGGGTTACTTCGCCCTTCTGTAACTCTCCATCTAAGACTTACATTTACATCATAAAGTTTGGCAGGGCCCTCTGAGTAGTTGGGTTCTTTTGAATAGTAGAATAATTTTGAGACTGTCGCATTCTGTTGCTAGGGCTAGAGTGTGGTAGCATCATCATGGCTCACTGCAAAAATAGAAAATATTTTAGAAACAATCTCCTCTTTGAGACATTGAGTAGCCAAAAGGGTGTTTTACCTTAGAATCTCCAGGTGGGATAACAGTGTTAATACAGAACGCTTCCATCATTACAAACAGTTCCATTGAACAGATATGTTCTAAAATATACCATTTGAGTCTTCAAAGTCTGTAAATGCAAGTAATCAATTTCTTTTATAAAGGTTTTGAAAATGTTTGTTAGCGGAAGTCTATTTCGTTAACTGTGAGCATCACCTCACACATAATCTATATGATTGTTAATATGTTGTGTTTTGATGGTGATAATCCCTTAAACATACCAGTCAGGATTTAAAATGAAGGAATAGAGCCTGGTACAGTAATCTCTGCACTTTGGGAGGTCAAGGTAGGAGGATCACTGGAGTCCAGGAGTTGGAGACCAGCCTGCAACATAGACCCTCATTTCTCCAAAAAACATTTAAAAGATGAAGGAATAAAAGCTATCATTTCTTGCTCTGATCCCCCTTTTTAGCACTCACTGCTATATTCTTGTGCTGATGCGAAGGGACAGAAGGATAGGGTTAGTTCTAGAGCAGTTTACTTTCTCTTAAACGGGAGTGTAGAATTAATGCTACCAGGTCAGCTGAACTATTCTCTACTCACTGTGTTCTTGTACCCCACCATGGTGGGCAAATATCATTGTTGATTTAGAATATAATCTAAACTTTTTTCTTAGGTTTATGTGGGAGGAGTCTCATAACAGCACACCAACTGACAAGCCCAGATTACTTGCTCTTGGTGAAAACTATGAACTGTTCATCTATGAGTTTAATTTGAAAGATGGACAATGTGATGCAACCATTTTATATAGCTATAGTGGGAAGATATTGCAAAAGCTCATTGAAGATCAGGATATCAGTAAGTACCTAAAGGTGGTCTTTTCACCATGTTTAAATTTGTGACATTGATATATAATTCTGTTTTTTACAGGAAAATGCTACCTAGAGTTGAAATCAGAGAAGGAGGTCTGCATTGTCTAGTATAGTAGTCACTAGTCACATGGGGCTATTGAACACTTTGTGGTTAACATAAATTAAGATGTACTTTAAATGTCGAATACATACTAGATTTTGAAGACATTACTAAAAATGTGAAATATTTTAACTTTTAAATTGTATGTTGAAATGATATTTCAGATATAATGAGCTAAATAATATATTATAATTAACTTCACATGTTTCTTTTCAGTGGCTACTAGAGAACTTAAAATTACATGTGTGGCTCACATTTTTCCATTGGATGGTACTGCTCATAGTTTCAGAGCTGTTGACTATGTCCTGTCCTGCTCTGTAGGGAGCAGAAAGCAAAGCACTCAGGCAGTAACATACCCTCTACCTTTGTTGATAAGGTTCCTTCTTTTTCTTAAAAAAAAAAAAAAAGCAGCAGCTGTGATTGTTCTTGTGGGGTCTCCTGAGTAAATTGGCTTTCTCAAATCTTCCTTTTGGTATGCTCTCAGACTTCAGTCATAAACAGAAGAAACCAGAGTGGGCGGCTTTATTCATCTTCTTACCTCCCAGGGACCCCTTGCTTAGGTAGTTGCTAAGGTAGGTCTGAACACTAACTGCCTAGAGTTGGACTAAGTGCAGTTTCTTTTTTGTTATGTTTATAAAATCAAATTTACCAGTTGTGAAATTGTGAACAGCGCATTTGAAATAATATCCTTTTGTTTTGTAGGTATTTCCTTATTGTCTTTGAAAATTCTGTCATTTCACAATAACACATCATTATTGTTCATCAACAAATGTGTTGTCCTACACATTACTTTCCCCGAAAGAGATGCTGAAATTAGACTACTCAACTGTTTCACACTACCCTTGCCTGCACATTCAGTGGACATGATTGTTGATGCACAGCTCTGCAGAGGAATTCTTTTTGTTTTAAGTTGCTTAGGCTGGATCTGTATCCTTGGCAGTAAAGATGTTTATTATTATGTAGGGAGGAGAATACTTAGAGGAGCACTTTTAGGCTTTAGTTTTGGGGGCTGGAATGTAGGAGGAATTGTTAGTTTTTCTGAAAAATTTTGCAAGGAAAAAGATCTGTATAAACTTAAAACACTCAACTATATTTCTTTACATTCTATTTTAATATTTTCTAGTACATATATCTTTCTTAATCATAATCATCTTACCCATATTTGTGTTCATTTAAAACTGTGTGCTCTGCTTACCAATTTATTCAAAATATAATTTTTTTTTTTTTTTTTTTTGAGACAGAGTCTCACACTGTTGTGCAGGCTGGAGTACCATGAAATCAGCCTGGCTCACAGCAACTTCAAATTCCTGGGCTCAAGCAATCCTGCCTCAGCCCCCCAACTATCTGGGACTACAGGCATGTGTCATAACATCTGGCTAATTTTTCATTTTTTCTTTTCTTTTCTTTTTTTCTTTTTTTTTTTTTTCTTAAAGACAGAGATCATTTTGTCAACCTCAGTAGAGTGCTGTGGAGTCATAGCTCACAGCAACCTCACCCACTTGGGTTCAAGTGATTCTCTTGCCTTGGCCTCCTGTGTAGCTGAGACTATTGGCACTAGCCACAATGCCTGGCTATTTTTAGAGATGGGGTCTTGCTCTTGCTCAGGCTGGTCTCAAACTTGTGAGCTCAGGCAAGCCACCTGCCTTGGTCTCCCAGCGTGCTACGATTATAGGTGTGAGCCACCTCACTCAGCCTAATTTTTCTTTTTTTTTTTTTTTTTTTTTTGAGACAGAGCCTCAAGCTGTCCCCCTAGGTAGAGTGCCGTGGCATCACAGCTCACAGCAACCTCCAACACCTGGG